AGCCTCATGGGCTCCATTTCCACATCCCTTGGGACACTTACAGCTCCCTGGCCAGACTGGCACTGAGCACTGGGCTCCTGTGGTGGCAGTCAGAGGGTTCAGCTGATACCAGCACCTCCTGCACCTGCACTGCAGGACCAGGAGATCATGCATGTAACCAGCAGCATGCTTAGGTGGTGCATGCCCTGCTGCATACTTGCTCCTGGCTCTGCTAACTCTTTCTTTGCCCCACTCCTTCTGAAACCCTCCTAGCTCTCTGTATTCCCTATTTTTTTTCCTGTAAAAATGCCTCTGGAGCTGAGGATGCAGAGAAGTGACCCTTCATTCAGCTAGCACCCTCTCTCCAGATCCTAGGGCTGGCAGAAGATGGCTCAAACGCTGATCAGAGTACTGCAGTAACCAAGGCTAAGGATACCCTGAATTGCCAAGCATTAATATTTGATGCATTTCAATATTTAAAGAGCTTGATAAGATAATTTAAGAAACACTGTCACTTTTTAAATTATTTGTAGACAATTTATAATGGAGCAAATCCACTTGGAATGAACAATATTTTGGCTAGGATAGATGTATGGCTCAGACAGCTGCCTTCATTTATTTAAAACATCAGAGGGATGACAATTTTGAAAATCCTCTGCTAGAAACCTCAGATCTCAACAGGCCAGACTCCCAGCCAGCAGAAGCGAGCAGAGGATCCAGGAGGTGTGTTAAGGCTGGTTGCAGTATTGTTGAAGGAAAGTTTTGCCTTTTTGGAAACAAAGTAAAAGAGACAGAGGATTTCCCTGAAAGTTTTGTTTTGTTTTCAGTGAAAATATTTGGGTTGTCATCTAGAATTTGAAAACCACAGCTGGAAAAAAAAAAAAAAAAAAAAAAAAAAGAAAGAAAGAAAAAAAGAACTGCTGGTTGCCAAGGGAAAAAAAAAAAAAAAAGTTGCTGCTGTTTTTCCTGATTTATTTGTTTTCCTGGAAATGTCCTGGCGCAAGTGGCTCCAGCAGTTTTCACCTGATGAGGATCAGCCCCAACGCTGATAGCACTGTCACTCGATAAACACTGTATGAGTCTGTAGAGTTCCCTGTGGCGTCTCCCGTGCATATCACATTGCTGCTGTGTGCCGAAAGCGGAGGGCAGGGAGGTGAGGGTGCAATTCCTGCAGTGTTAAATTGAGATGCTTTGTTTAACATAATATGCCTCAGATGCACCCAGCGCACCCAGGGAGCTGTGTGAGGGAAGCTTTGGACATCATCTTGTCCAACCCTCCTGCTCGAGCAGAGCTGCCCAGAGCAGGTTGCCCAGGAAGATGCCCATACAACTTTTAAAGATCTTCAATGAGGGACACTCTAAAACCTCTCTGGGCACCCCGTGCCAGGGCCCCATCACCCACACAGTGGAGAAGTCCTTCCTGATGGTCAGGGGGAACCTCCCATGTTCCAGTTTGTGCCCATTGCCTCTTGTCCTGGCACTGGGCACCACTGAAGAAGGTGCTGAATGAAGGGAAGGGAAATGCAGAAGGCATAGAGTTATGCTTTGCTGATGCCTGCAAGCCACCTGGGGACCCCCCACGGCAGGTTTCCTTCAGGCATACCCAAGTGTCACCATCTCAGGAGCTGTCCTGGGAATCCCAGAGGCCATCTTTGGCCCTCTAGGATTAGGAAAGGAGTTTTCCGTGCTGTGGGAGGAGAGGTGTGTCTGAGGGGCTCCCTTGCTGCTGCAGTCTTGTCGGGATGATGGGATTTTGACAACCTTTCTCCAGAGTGTTTTCGTTTCTGTTCATCAGCTTGTTGGTCTGATAACATTAATCAGCACTTCTGTGGAAACAGTGCTTTCAGAGACGAACATTGTAATCAGAATGAAGAGACACTGATGAGTATTGCTAAAATTAAAGAGTCTAAATCCAGCAAAATTGCTTTCACTGGGAAAATGTATTTTTATCCGTAGGCGCCGTTATCCACTAGCTCCACGCTGTCTTGACAAAGCCAGGCATGCTCACAGTCGGAGGGGGTGGCATCTCCGTGGGAGCCCCAGCAAAGATGTTGCTCACAGCTCACATTTTCCTGGTGGTACTCTCCTTGGCATGTCAGTGCTCTCCCTCCTAACCGTGCCATCTAGCCAAACACTCACAGCAAGCAGCTTTGGCTCCCAGAGGAAGACAGTCGTGAAAGAGAAAACCCTGCCCCATGTTCATGCTGGAAGAAATTCATCCCAGACCTGGTTGTTGAAGAGATTTGCAGTGATGTTGTGCATACAACATCGTCCTGCTCCCCATTTCTCTAAGCTCCTCACTGCTCTGCTGCCCCTTCACTGGGCACTCTGGCAGCCTCTCATCCCACTCCATCTCAGAGCCACCTTCCCAGCTTTGTTCATCCACATTTTACCCCAGTCAAAAGAAATGCCCCAATCTGGCATGCTGGCAACTTCCAGCATGGGACTGAATACAATGAGACATGACGAGACATTGCGTATACATGAAGGCATAGCAAAACTGAACCCCCCTCTTACTTTCCATTCTGAGATTTCCCGGAGAAAGGGGTTGTCTCTGTTTTCCCTCTCATAGCTCCGTGCTTCTGGCTGAGATATTTTCTGGACACATTTAAGCCCTGTTGGAGTCAGCAGCTTCAGATGTAGGGAATGGAAGATGGGGTATTTTCTCACCCCCTCCTGTCACAATGGTACAAACTGGAGCAGATAAATGTTCAAATCCAGGGAGCTACGCAAGGGCACAATGTTAGCGCTAGTGTAGCTGGGATCGGGTAATTTGTGTATGAATGTGACTGAATATTAGAGGACGAGATCTATTTGTCCATAAACCTGACAAGGGTGAAGCATTTCAGAAGCATCTTGTGGCCTATAAAACCGAAATGCAAAGCCTAAGCATATCGCTGCCCACTGAAAAGCATTAAATGGCTCACAGCACAAATGCCATAAAGCTGCAAGCGCACAGCTCGGGGGCACCCTGAGCCTCTGTTTTCCTGCCCCAGCTCAGGACAAGTGAGAATTGTTTCAGTCTCCATGCGTGGCTTCCTACTTCACCGCCTCTCTGGCAAGAGTGAGGAAAGCGGAGGAGAAAACAGAATTCCTTACCTCTGGATAATACTGCTTATACTTCACACATTGCCACTTAATATTGTTAATACAGTTCATACAACACAGGATGGAGCAATATACAATTAATATAATTGCTAGATTATCATTAATAATCTCCTGCATGCTCTCAGGGGTCTGAACCAACCCCAGGCTGTCAGGGCAGCAGTCCCATGCAGCATGTCCATTCAGTGATCAAGTTTCCTAATTTTTTCTGCCTTCCCCAGGAATATTTGCTCAAAATGTTTGCTTCACTCTTAGTTGGAGGGCAGAAAGGGGAAAGAGGGAGCTGATTTTGGCTGCTGCTTCCTTTTGTACTGTCTGGGTATGCCTCTGCCCCTGGTTTTAGGGTGAGTTGATCAAACGGTGGCCTCCGGGCGCTCGGAAATGAAAAAGCTGCCTGGCTCTGGGTGAAGAACTGACCCCACTGCACCTACCACCAACCATGCACTTGTGGGTGGGAAGATGTTCCTCAAGGGAGGATATTTCAGGAGCATCTCAGCCCTCAGAGACAGCTGTCATCAGCCCACTACTGCTAACCAGTCACGACACCCAGATGCTCACCATGGGTGGCTCAGGCCTTCACCACGCCAGCAGTGACCCCAGCAACCCTGCTCTTTTCTTGAAACATAAAAAATGGGAAGCTACCAGCAGCCAGAGGGAACTAAGAAGGTACGTTAGGAAACCCTTTATCCCCTACGGGGGTGGTTCCTCTGCTGGAAGAGAGGCCTGAGGGGCTGTAGGATATCCACCCTTGGGACCACTCAAACCTCATCTGGACGCAGCCCTGAGCAACCTTACCCAAGTTGGACCACAACCCCTTCCCATCTCAATTATTTTGTGATTTCCAAGACCAGGATTTTGACAGAGAACATCTCTGGAACTAACACCTACTGCTCACCTACTGGCAGGCCCAGGGCAGAGTCAGAGCCAAGCATTTCTGTCACGGGAGTGGGCTGGCTCCAGACTTACCCCAGTGAATCCCATGCAGTGTTTTTATTTCTGCTAATTTAATATTCAGGATTGAAAAGCAGAGGAGACAGAGATTGATCACCTGATACTTTAGCGGTGATTGTTATGAATTCATTCATTTTAACTAATTTAGAATTTATTTTTCTTGTTCTTGAAGGCAGCCTTCGGATTGCTTAATAACATTACATCTAGTGACTGCAAAAATAAGTATCTGACACCTCTAGTTTGGCAGTGTGTCATCTGTATGGATGTTTTCTGATGGATAATAAAAAATACATGCTTGTTGGGAATACATGATCTATAAATCAAACTTTTCCAAGGTCTTTGATTAATGTTTGTGAGTGGTGTAAGAAAGATTGCTTTCACCCCATGACAAGTGATCCCTGCCCTGGGCTTCAGTAGTATCTACTGGCACTGAGGTCATAAACCACTTTCCATTCAATCACTTTTGTTTTCATTTCCCTATAACTTTCTGAGATGCTCACCTGTGGGGCTAAAATTTTCCATGCTGAGCCTCTGCCTGAGGGGGGCTTTAGATGCTGTATTTTGGGGGGGAGAGTGCCCAGGGCAACCAGAGGCATCATTTTCCCCTTTCTCCTTCCTGTGGCAAGGGTAGTTGGATAACATATGGAAAGTTGCATTTAAATCCTCATTCTCTCTAAAGAGACGGGTACAAGCTGTAACTGAGCTAGTGGCAACAGGCTTGCAAACACATGAAAAAAATATTAAATCAAGCATGAACTAAGGAATTGCATGGGAAGTGGTAGAGTATAGCCCTAGACCAAGACTCCCCCCCTTCCCTGCACAGCTAATGCCTATTCTCTCTCACCTGTGGGCTGCTCTGCTCCCCAGCTGGGCATCATCCCCAGGAGATGATGGGTGGGGAAGGAGGTGGGACATCTGTAAGAGAGCATAAAAGTCCCAGAATTGGCCCTTCCTTTTCCTAGTCTTGTCGATGTTATGAGTGATTTTACTGCTAAAATTAGGCAGTTTGGAGCTAGAGCTTCGGGAGGTGCTGCGGTCTGCATAGCAATTGGGAAGGTTAGTGTGCCTTTTTAGCCAGGTTATTCATTGAAACAGCAGCTTGGCAAATTTGGAATTAAAAAAAATCCCCTGTGCCTTTTCTGACCATTAAGTAGGACAGCCTAGGCTTTAGATATGCAACAGCCTACCTTAAATGCTATTGTCAAGGACAATACCTCGTGCCAGTCACCAAGGTAACACTTGCTTTTCCAAAGCTCCTCTGAGTTTCTGAGCTGCCTGGTGCTTCTACACTCGGAGCATAACTGTGAGCTCTCTTCCAGTGAAATTATCTGTGTCCCTGCATGGGATTGTCTCCATGTTCCTGTTGGAGCAGGGTGCTGGACTAGAGGACCTCCAGAGGTCCCTTCCAACCTCAACCATCCCATAATTTTTATTTATCCCAAATATAGAAGGATTTTAATCTGTCCCTGGAGGTTTTTTCAATTTTCATGTGGGTAGTTGTAACAGTGTACAGCATCTAATCAGCTTGGAGTTGTTGAAGGTTATGGTAGCATGTGTTGCCCACAGGAGCTGCAGGAATCATATTGTTGCTCTTCAATGCCTTTTTAAATACGAATGCTACACCCAAGTCATGCACCATCATAAGAGCTGAAGAAAGGTCAGGTCCAGTAAAAGAGGCAGTGGTGTGTGGTCAGCATGCTGCCTTTCAGGAAATGCCCATGGCCTCTGCTTTGTCCAGGGTGCAGGGGTGAGTGTGTTTCACACCAGGATGCTGGAGAAAATTTCACTGAATGAGTGTTGAGTCATGAGAAAAGTGTCCTTGAAAAACCATGGTTTGCCCATGTTGGATCCTAGCAACTCTTCCAAGGATGGTTAAAAAGACCTTTGAATGCAAGGGAAAGAAATAGCGGTAGCAATTTGCTTATAATGCTGATGTTCTGGTGAACCTATACATCTGATGACAATGCTAGTGCCACGCTTACTTGGCACCAATATTATATGCAGGCTTCCCTGAAGCAGTCCATTGACTCACGTGATATTAACTGTTTTTTTCTGAAATTGATTTTTTTTTTTTACTGTAGACCACGAGCAGCCATGTCTTCTTCACAATGCTTGGGGGGGAAAAAAAAAGCTGGGCTTTTGGAGAAACTTCTTTCTTGGAAGGAAGAAGCAGGGTTTCTAGACTTGCCACCCTTTGCCTGGTTGTTCCATGTTACAGTAGATGGAACAGAGGTGTGAAGGGAAGACCTAGTGCTTTCTAAAGCTATATGTGCTAGATGCTGTAGCTATGGATGCTCTGTGGCAAGAGAATGTGAGGCCATAGGGCAAGGATCTTGTGCTGCAAATACTGTTGAAGACGTAGTGCAAAAAGGGGAATTAAGCATATGTCTTCCTCTATGCTAGTCTGCCTGTGCATACAGATCAAGTCTGTGGCCTGGTCTCTCCAGACAAGCTCTCACTCCAGCATCCTACCCTGACTTTTCCTGAGTATGTTGTTGCCACTAATGAAAGTGATGTTACCTAACGAAAGCCATTTATAAAAGTTTACCACATGCACTTTTTTTCCTCTTAACCTTCTTTTAGTGCTTTACTCTGAATAAGCCTGCTTCTGATCGCTTGCAGCCTGGAAAACCCAGCTAGCTGAGATGGCACCTTTGCTGATATCCTTGCTCTCTGCTGGCAAAGCACTTGCAATTTCTGTTTGACTCCCTGCCTGCCCGCTCCCAACAATTATCCTTGGTTAACAGTGTTGCTGTGCCACAGCCTCCTTGGTGTCATCTCCTGACTTTAGGAGATTAAATAGCACAAGCAGCTGAGGATATGTGGATGGGCGCCAGAGAACGAAAGCTGAAAGAATTAGTTTTTATGGTTTATTGAGTATAGTGGCATAGTGAGGCTTGTCTAGCAAAGCTGGAACAGCTGGCTTTTTGGATAACTTCAGTCATTTTAAGGCCATCTTTTTTGAAGGTTTTAGTGGGCACCTTTTAATTCTTGATGGTCTGTCAGCTGGAGGCTATTGGCTGCCCTGCTGTGTAGCAGCTGGTGCTTGGTGCAGGTGGTCTGGATGTGCTGTTGGGAGGGTGGCTTTGGTGCTCTTTCTAGTCAAATGGGTGCTTTAGTGAGGAAATTGACCACATATACAAAGCACAGTTTGTTCCCGAATTTGTCCTTTCCTAACTTTTATGGCTACGTGTAGCCACAGAAGTGCAGCAGATCCTGTTGTGGCCTATTGTAGCATGTATTTGATGACCAGCCATCTCTTAGGGAGACCTCACTAAGTATTGGGTTAGTGGGCAGGTAACAAACGCATGTTATGACCGAGGGTTAGTCCACCAGGAAACTTAAGTAATCGTGTAGCTTTTTTTTTTTTTTTTTTTCTACAGCATTATGCTTGCCAGTTCAGATGAGAAGATGTGATATCTTCAGATTTAGCGATTAAAAATATCTGCATAAAAAGATACACTTCTTGCAATGGTATCATGCTTTTAGCTAAACCCTAACCTTAGCTTAAAGTCTGGAGAGGCCTTCTGGATTAACCTTACCTTTTCAAGCCCACAGAGTTATTCACAGTGGTCTGAGCTCTTAAGGTTACCAGAAGTGTAAGGATTCTGGTTTAAAAACATCCAAGCAATTTTACATCTGTGCTTCAAGTTTATCTGGAAGCAGTGACAGATTCTTAATAATTTCAACTCCGTTTGCAGAGCTAATCTGCAGTGTGATCCTGCTAAAGCTTCCTATCTGCCTGGAACCGAGTCAAATTGTGCTGTGACAAGCATGGGAGCAGCCGGTGTGCTGTTGGCATCAGCCTGAGTGTCTCTTCAGAAGGAACATATGTTCTCCAGTACAGCCACTTCATTTGCTCTTCCCTTGCTAACTTTTACTGTATATTTTTCCCCCCCTTGATTAAGAACTTTGACTTTCTGAGAGATTTAAAATTTTTCCCTTATCTCTGGAGGTGGGGAAGGGCAGATGCTAAGAGACAGAAGCTTTTGTTGATGAAACTAATCAGATTTCCCTGTCCTATCTAAGAAGGAAATTAGAATAAAGACACCAGTAATTTGAGCAATGTTGTGTAAGAGCTCCATGATGGCAGGTTGTTAAAACTACACCGCTGTTCTCCAGTAAAGGAGGAAAATTATGTGGAGTTGCACTAGGTTGATGAATAAAACTCTAAAGACTCCAGAGTCTTCAGTTTGGCTCAAGGATGTTCTCCAAGCTTCGTGGTAGCACTGGATTTTGCAGGGGATTCCCAGGCACATTAGCAGAAATCATAATAATGAACAGAATTAGTGGGTGCATGGGAATGAGAAATAGAGCTGTGATGAAGCTAGAAGGAAAGTCCTTTACATATAAATGTTTTAAAAGGTAGAGGAGGAATGAGCACTGATTTTCTCCATGGGGAGAGGTTGGTTGTGGAATCTCCTGCATGTCTTTAACAGAAAAATATCTTTTTTTGGGGTGTGTGTGTGAAATCTTCAGTGTGTTTATGTATTTTTGGTCTCTAAATTATGAGGCACTAATCACAAAAAGGATCCAAGGATTTGAGGTATTGTGTTATAGCTCTGAAAACATCTGTTCACATCTCAGCATGGTCAAAAAAGGCAAATGGGATGTAATTATTAGGAAAGATATACAGAGGAAACCAAGTGACACCATTATACTGCTATACAAATCCCACCTGTGCCTCAGACTTAGACATGGCACAAACCTTTGCATTCTTGGAGAATATCAGTGGTGCAATAGAGGGATGGAAAGAGGAGATCTGGGAGCCAAAATTTGGGCAAATACTCTTTTAAGAAGAATTTCAATTACTATTAATAAGAATTAAGAATTAAAAAGAATTACTATTATTCAGTTGGGAAGAAAACAACTGAAAGGGCTGTGCTCAAGTCCTCTCTGTTCACCGATAGGAACAGGGATTGAGTAAATAACTGAAAAATGTTCAAATACTTGAAGGGAAAAAAAAAAACATACATTAAAATAGTCAGAAGGAAGGATCCTTTCCCATGCATTGCATAACGAAGCTGTGAAACTCCTCAACAGAAGATGCTTCAATCAATCATTCAATCAATAAATTAGGAGCCTCATCCAGAGATAACCTGTCAGAGGTTATTTAACATGATAATAGCTATTGTGGCTAAGATGCCAGGCAAATATAGTAAGAAAGAGGTGCTAGTCTGGTATCCCCCCTCGAATTTGTCACTGGCAGCATGTGATCACACAATGCAGGCGGATTTATAATGAATCTCTCTGGTCTGTATACCTCTTAAAAAAAATAGCTTTTCTCTCTCTGCATTTTCCTTCCTGCTATTGTGTTTCAAGCTGTTCAGAGGAGGGATGATGTGTCATTATGTGAATTTACAGAAATAGGCATGTTGGGACCCTCCTTTTTGTTGGATTCTCCGCTGTAATTCCTACAAAGGGTACCGATGGTAATAGCTTACAAGGACAGATGGCACTGAGATATTTGCAGCATTATTTGAGACAATGAAGTCTATTTTGTTCTACACAATCTCAAGAGCCCAGGTACAAGGTCTCTTGCAGTCAGCTTTTTCCAGTGTGCCCCTGAATGAGTTGGAACAAGAATGCAAAATGTGATTTAACAGTTTTAGTGGTTGTCCTCAAAAGCGATGGCATTTCGGCGGCGTGGGATCCCATTGCGTGCATTTTTTTCCTGAGTGTAGGTATCTTCTGGAGTGAAGGCACTTTGCACGTTGTGAGTTATTCTAGCAGTGATTGCTTTCAGAAGTGTGAAAATTTCTGTTTATTTCTACCGCTTGCTAATCCTGTTTTGGCTGGTGCAACCCTGCAAGGAGTAGTTCGCTCCATGGGATGTGTTACTCGGAAATGATCCATACTATTGCTGAGATCTGGGAAGTGCTTTGATCCGCTTTGTGAAGTGCTTCACTTGCAAAGCAAACCTAGCGAGTGTTTCGCTCGCTGCCAATGCGGTGCAAAGGAGAAAAAACACTCAGCTGTTTTCTTATCCCTTTGCTGGATATGGACAATTTTGCTTCTTGTATGATTGCTAGTCTCCAACCTGGGAAGTCTCAAAA